TGTTTCTCCCGGGCTTTACGCGGCGCCGCGACCTCGATGCTCGGATCCCTCGACGCTTCGCCCGTAGTTGCGGTTGCCGGGCGGAGCCAGAACGGCGACAGATCGACCCGTCCCCGTCGTGCGGGGAGTGAAGTTGCAGAAGAGGTGCCCCCGGCAGGAGTCCAGCGGGTGCCGGGTGCCAGAGGCGGCCTCGTCCGGACGCCCGGGTTCAGGCCTGCGGTTCGGTTCGGTTCGGTGCGGGGGAGCCGCGCCGCCTGGGCTGCTCCGGCCCCTGGGGCTGACGTCCTGCCCCTCTCCTCCCGCAGAGCGCATCCTCTCTCTCTCGTGGCATCCGTCTGGGACCAGGATTGCAGCTGGCTCCATTGACCGCTTCTACATCTTTGATATCAAATCCGGTGAGTTCTCCAACTAGTTTGGACCTGGGACCGAGAGAGGCGATGGGCAGGAACGTCCGGGAGGGATCTGCCTGGGCTGCCAAGGGGGTCCGTGATCCGTTGTGACGGTGAAGGTGAGGGATGGTGCTCTCTTGACTGCCTCAGCTGCGCCTGACAGAGGCGGGGACAGGACTTTGTGGTCACTGGATCCTGTTCTGCTTTGGAGGCACTGTGGCTTCGTGGCACAAAGGGTCCTGGGTTCAATTTCGGTAGATGCTCCTCTTCTGAAAGGAGATGGGGGAGTACATCAGGTATGTGGGGGCTCCAGGTAGGTAAAGAGATTGGTGCAGTGGAAGAGAGTTTTCCGTGGCATTGTTTGAGCAACTGTTTCTCCCAGTCACCTTTGAGCTTGGCTGGTTTTTAACCACCGCGGTTGAACATCCCGGATGCTTCTTTCCTAGGCCACGTCAGCCGGCAGATACTGGTGGAAAGACGTCTGCAAGGCTCCCCCAGCCCAAAATGCCTGGTGTGGGACCTGGCCTTCCTTTCAGATGGCACAGTGGTCAGTGTGGACTCTGCTGGAAAAGTGCAGTTCTGGGATTCGGAGATGGGCACCCTGCTCTCCAAGCATCCCATCAGCAAAGCTGCAGTGCTTTCGGTGGCCGTGGCTGAGGTGGGTGAGAGTTGCAAAACACGGGTAGTGGTTTGCAAATCCTGACAGAAAGGACAGGAAGATGCGTCTTGACGTGCCATTGGAGAATTGAATATTTATCAGTGTTCCAGCCAGGTGCAGTCAGGCCAACGAGACGGATGGGCTGCTGAAACCCGGATGGCCAATTTCCAACTCAGGCCTTGTGGGGAGCTGGGAAGCAGAACCAGATTCCCACTCAACCAGGGTAGTGCGAGTGCTGCCCCCCTTGGATCGCACCTTTCTAGAAAGGAATTTGTGGGCACTTGATGGTGCCAGCCCAGTTTGACGTGATAAAGTTGGTCACCGTTTGGCAAGGGGGGAAGCAGAAGGTCAGTCTGAGGCTGTGGCTGCCTCAGAACAAGGCTGGGCCACCATCTCCTCCAGCGGGTGTTTCCCTGAGGCATCTGGCTGGCTGGTATGACTGGCCAAAGGGGGAACTGCGTAGGTCTTAGTCAGACCCCACCAGCCAGTTCGTACAGAGGCGCTTCCCCAGCAGTCACAGAACCAAGGCAGGGCCCTTGTGGCCTGCGTCATTCACGGTAGCTACGTCCTCACCTCTTGGTATCGACTGGCTTTCTTCTCAGGCAGAAGATAGTCTTGTTGTGGGCACGTCGGAGGGAACGGTGTATCAGTTCCAGCTGCTACCAGTGAAGCTGGGCGGCTCTGAGCACCACTGGGTGCGGACCAGGCTCTTTCGGCATCACACTCATGATGTGCGGACAGTGGCGCACACCGCCACGGCATTCATCTCTGGAGGTACAGTATGGAGCCAGACCTCTGGCTTGTAACTCAGCCACCAGTTCTCACCCTTTGCGGCCTGTAGTAGAGGATGGGCAGGGCCGGTATCCCCACCCAAGGGACGCAGCCAGGCAGAGGAGACCAGATGTGTTCCAGGCTAGTGTTCCTGGGTCCATTGCCATCCAGGTGGCCTGGATGACATCACATGTTATGCTAAGCCATGGTTTGTTCGAGAAGCCAGGGCATCCTGGCTCAGATCATGATAATCCCGAGGCCTTGGGGTGATGCACAAAGCCAGCCCTCGCCTGGTGAGGGGCAAGAGAATTGGCTTTACGAGCCAGGCACCATCCTCCTCTGGCAGGGCTGGATGGGCAACTTGTGATCCGACCCCTGATGGAGAAGGTGGAGTCGAAGACCTACGAAGCTGCCCTCCGCATAGTCGCCTTCCCTCACGTGAGTAGCTGGACTGCACGCTTCTCCTTGGCTGAGGGAAGCCGCTCCTGGAGAGAGGGGCGGGATCCCCGTGGCAGTGGGGCCAGCTATCTCCTTCGCTGGCGATTCAGGTGGCTTTTCTCCTTCTCGCAGAGGTGCCTTGTCTCCTGTGCCAGGAGAGCCCGTCTCCTCCTCTTCCAGTACCCCCAGCACCTGGAGCTCTGGAGGCTCGGCACCACAAACACATTTGGTGAGGACACGCACAGGTCCCAACGTGCAGGTGATGGGCGCAGCCAAGAGCTGCAGCCTGCTTTCCCTACCACCCTCTTTGGCAATTGGAGCGGGACCTTCTTGCCACGTTCCTCTGCATCAGGACATCTGGCAGGTGGCATCTGGCTCTCTGCAAGTCACCTTGTTTCTTCTTGCAGGAAGGCCTGGCGAAGTCTTGCCGGTGTCCTGCCCCCCCCAGAACCTGCTCCAGCTGAAGGCCAAGGTGAGAAGCCATGATTTCTCCTCCTTGCGGCTGGGGCAAAGTTGCCTTCCCAGCCCTGGCTGGGGTGTTTCTGTCCCTTGGCTGCCTTGTCCCTCGCAGTCAGGCCAGGCAGTCAGGCCAGGCAGCACCGTTCAAAGAAAGAATGGCGTGGGCATCTATTGGAAATACCCCTTTGACTTCAAACCAGAGAGGTCTGTGCAGCACGTTGTCTTTGGTGGGTCTCTGGAGAATCCCGCCCTTTGTGGGTCAGCTGCACACGCCTCGTCTCTGGGCAGCTCACCTGCAGTCCTGATTGGCTCTGCTTGCTTCATCGAAGGGCCCAGAGCATATCCGCAGCAGCTGCGTCTCTCCGTGCGGCAGCTGGATCGCCTACTCCACAGCTACCAGGTTCTATCTGCATCGGGTTCAGCTCACTGGCGAGCAAGTTTCCATCAACAGGGTGAGTGAGAGATTTCCACGGGCATGGAAGTGTTCAGCTGGAAATGTTCCCTGGCTGCTAGCTGAGCCTCCCTGGAAGAAAGGGGGGAGCGATTGGAGGGCCCAGGCAGCCACGTCAATCCTCTTTTGCTTTCCCAAGGTCCTCAAGACTCCCAAGCTGAACGGCTCAGCCCACCACCTCCTTTTTTCCAGCGACTCCACCAGGCTTTTTGTGGCATCGGATTGTGGCTGCGTGCATGTACTTTCACTCTTGCAGTCAGGGGCCTGCAAGCACCTACACACTCTTCGTCCGAATTTGGGTAACAATGGCTTGTTTTAGATTCAGTCATACTGACAATACCTGCAGGAAGAGGCAAACGTTTTCTGCAAATGCTCCCAAATAAGAAAGGAAGGCGGCAGTTACCGGGCATCTAAAGCAGAGGGTTGCTGAAGGAAATCTGGGCAGTGCTCAACTCCAGGCCTGTATCTTTCTTGCAGAGAGATCGGAAGCGGTGTATCAGCTGGCAGTGAGCGCAGATGGCAAGTGGTTGTCTGCAGCTGGTGGGGACCGGGATATCTGTATCTATAACTTGGAAAACACCAAGGTAAGCCCAGCTGCAAGCTTGGTAGCCGGAGGCCAAGTCTGCTTAGATCAAGTTCTGCTTCCTCAGTCACTTTCCTTGGTGGAATCTGGGTCTTGTGGCCAGTTCCGGGGAATGGGCGTTTGCAGGTACCTCGCTTGCTCTGCCCCTGGCCTTCTCCCAGAGTCACTGGGCTGGCCTCTGCGAGAACAGAAGGTTGGTTCAGCCGCTGGTTGCTTCCAGGAGCCTGGAAGGCTGGTGGGGAGAAGCCAGCTTTAGCAGTGGGGAAGGCCCGAGGCAGGGGCTCTCTTTCATTCCGCAGCATCTTCCTTCCCCAGCTTCACTGTACTGTGCCGTCATATGGGTGCCCAGTGACTGCGTTGGCAATCCATCCAGTGACCAATAACCTCATCATCGCGCATTCGGATCAGCAGGTAAGGGCTGCTCCTCCCAAGCTTGGCAAAGCGGGCTCGGTACGTACAACGGCCTGCATCCAAGAACACAGCTTTCCAAAGAACTGCTCCGGACCATGCCAGTCCGGCCAGTCAAGGACAGCGCTGGCCTTACACGTGCGTCCTTACTGGAGAGTTGGCAGTAACCTGGTGGGGGACGGTCAGCTTTGGAGCCGGGAAGGGGAAGGGTTCCGTTTGGGAGGAAGCACCCTGGTTACCATCAGCGATCCTAATTAGATGCAGAATGTCTTGTTTCCACTGGAACGAGCTGCAGTTAAGAGGCACACACCCTCCACTAAAGTACGTCTTCAGCCAGAGGAAAGTTTGCTCCCTGCAAGCCCTGAATGCAGCGTTGGGGGAGGGAGGCGCTTCTTATCCCGAGGTGATGATCTGGCTTCAGAACGGGATCTGAGGAGGGTGGGGAAGTTATCCCTCCCCTACTGGCTTTCCTGCTTCCAGGTGTTTGAGTTCAGCATCAGGGACAAGGGGTACACGCCCTGGAGCCGGAAGCTGCAGCAGCTGGGGCTGCACAAGGATTGGCTGGAGCGAGACACGCCCATCACCCACATTGCCTTCCGCCCCAGGCACCCCTCGCACGTCCTGCTCCATGACACGTACATGTTCTGCATCCTGGACACATCGCTGGTGAGTGAGTGGTGGCACTGAGCGTGGCTGTCTGCCCTGCAAGATGCACAAGTGCCCGCATTCTCCTGCCCCTCCCTTCTTCAGTCCTGCCTGCTGGGTTGTTTCCTTAGTGGCAAACGCACTGTTGTTTGCGCACAGATGCTCCTGCCTCACAGAAATGGGGACTTGGGTTGCTGACCCCACATCGAGATAAGCCGGGTGGATTAGCCAATTCTGGAGGTTCCAAGTCTTTGTTTAGGGATGCTGGTCTAGGGTTCAGACATCCGTCCTGAGCTCCATGGCAACAGAGAATAGCATACCTTCCCCCCCCCCCCAAACGGTTGGCACCGCTTGGTGGTGCTTCCTCTCTCACTGGGTTCAGCCAGAACGTTACTGCTTGATTTGGGGTTAGGACAGAGTGTGAACCAGGCCGTTGGACACATTCAGCAAGATGTGCCTTAAAGGAACTGCTTCAGCTCAGATACTGACTGCTCTGCATTTTATCATTTAATTTGCTCCTCCAGCCGCTGCATGAGGATGCTGCGGCCTCAAAGAAACAGGCACAACTCGTGAAGACGACCCAGCGCAATCGCGTCCACGCCTTCAAGATCTGCAAGAGGTTTCAGGTTGGTCTTTGAGCAGTGAGCTCTCTGAGCCAAGAGAGAACCGAAGGGAAGGCCCTCCTTGTGGGGGGGTGGGCAAGCAGCACCTGCTGAGCTAGGAAGCCCCCCTGTTCTGCAAGACCAGGCCCAGGGGTGAGTTTGGGATCAGTGGGAGAACTCAGGCAGTTGGATTAACCAGGATTGGTGGGTTCTGTGAGCATGGCTGATCTGCCGTTCACATTCCTAATTTATTGCCAAAGGACATGGGGAAGGCCGCTGCCAGGAATGGTTTGGGGGGACGTTGGACGGTCCAGTGGGGGCAAGTCATGGCCAGCTGCAGAAGCCCCAGCTGAGGATGCCCCTGGCCTATTATTAGAGCAGGAGGGATGCTGCCATCCTCTGCCCGAGCCCAAGAAGGGCGCTGGTGTCATGGAAAAGCTACGTCAGAATATGTCAGAGGTTTCTCTGTCAGGAGGCAGGTCCACACAAGGGCTGGGGCAGCGCTCTGGTAGCCAGCCTGGGGGGGGAGGACATAATCCCCCTCCCCTCCCCTCCCGTTCTTGCATCTGAGGCTGAAGCAAGGGGCCAAGGCAGAGCTTCCCTCTCCAAGTTGATCAGGAGCACTCGGCTCTTAAGGGAAGCCACTGCTCTTGCTCTTGGCAGCTGCAGGACCAGGGTAGTGAATTTTACTTCTGCCTGGCTACTGCGGGAAGCAGAGAGCTGGTGGCTGAGAGCGGCCCTTTGAGTCACTCTGGCTCTTGTGGGGCTGTGTGTGCATGGCACAAGATGGGCATGAAGCTCTGAAAGTCCAGAGGGTGGGTACAAGAGCTTTTGTGGCTGGCAGTGCCGGAGAGCTCGACGCCTCAGGATGGTTGTCCCTACCAGGCACGCAAGGCTTGGTTGCTCAGAGGGGCCCAGCTAGACACCCTTTGGGGACCCAGCTGTGCCAAGAGAGCCCCTTCTAACTTTACTGCTTGCTTTCTCTCTCTCTGCCCCCCCGCCCCACCCAGCCTCTGCTGTTTGTGGATTTCCTGGATGATACTTCTTTGGTGGTGGTGGAGCGGCCCCTGATGGACATCAAAGCCCAGCTGCCACCGCCCGTCTATCAGAAGAAATTTGGGACATAAAGATGCCGCTCTGCAGAGACCTCGAGGAAGCTCTGCAAAGGCTGTCCTTGCATCGTCCATTGAGGGGGGCTGCCCAGTGCCCCTCCCTTCGGAAGCAGGGGGCTGCTGGTGTTAGGAGCAACTGTTCACGGGCACCCAGGGCCGCCGTCTTCTCTGCAGCCTCCCTCCCGCATCCCTGAGGTCGCTTGTTTTTCCGCCATTATTTATCTGGCAGGGAAAGCTGCTTTGAGCGGAGGAAAGAGGGGCACTCCCTCATAATAATTAACTTCTGTGCCTGGGCAGCTGAGACCGGCTGGGCCTCTTGGCTCAGGAGTTCTGGCATCGACTGGTGGCAGGAGACTTGGGTGCTTTTCTCTGAACCGTTCCCGTGAAGAATCACAAGGAATTACTCTTGTGCACGGCGTGTAGGAGCACGTCCCTTGCCCGGGAAAGGCGCAGCTTGGGTAGGCTGACCCGGTAGCCGCATCCACTCTGGAAAAAGCCTGCTGCGTGTGGCCTGCAGCCAAAGGGCGAGCAGGACTTCCTCCCAGCGAATGGCTCCGTGGAGGCCCTTCAGCGGCCCCAGGTTCCCTCCGGCTCTGCTGGCGCCAGATCCTAGGCAGGCGCTTAACTGCCACCTTGAACCCCACCTCTGCAGCACCGGGAACCCTGGTTTCCGCCCCAACTAGCAAGAACGGCAGAGTCAGCAGGGAGGGAGGGAGGGAGGGGGCTGCCCCTGACCTTGCTTTGTTTTGTGTTTCTCCAGGAAGGGTGTGAGCGTGTGTGCGTGTGTGTGCAAGTGACCCTGCATTCCCAGGGAGAGAGAAGGGAACCGCTACAGAAGGGAACGAACGGCCCGTTCTCTGCTGCTCAGCGGGGCTTGAAGGTGGCGTCCTCTGCCAGGAGATCGCTGCCCCAGCTCTGGGAGCCCCCTCCCTCACCCCCTCGTGGATTTATGCAGAGTTAGCTCTGAGTTTGGCTAAAAAACCCGCTGTGGTGACTGAATTCAAGGAAACGAAACCTCCCTCCTTTGTCCACAGAATGTCTGGACCGCTCCTCTTGACCAAGAACAGGATGCTCTTTCAAATAAAGACCCCTCAGGCTGCTCAAGGCTCCTTTTCGGACTTTGTGGGGGGGCGGGGAGGATTTTTGTGTTAACGGAGGGCTGTAGCCTTTCCTGGCGTGTGTTGACCA